AAACCCCCTAAACCCTAGACCCGAAACCCTAGAAACCCTAAACCCTAAACCGTAACCCAGCACAGCAGCTCCGGCCTCGTGAGGGAAGGGGCAGACGCGTGGGAAAGCATGGTGAAGCCTCGCAGTTGAGAGGCGTAAGGGAAGTGTTTTGGGGCTTGGGGTTTAGGGTTTCGGGGTTTAGGGGTTTGGGGTTTAGGGTTTAGGGTTTAGGGAAGTGTTTTAGGGTTTAGGGTTTAGGGTTTAGGGCTTTGGGCTTTGGGTTTAGGGCTTAGGGTTGAGGGTTTAGGGCTTAGGGGTTTAGGGTTTTGGGGTTGAGGGTTTCGGATTTGGGGCCTCGGGTTTTAGGGTTTGGGGGTTTTGGTTTCGAGGCCTTGGATTTGGGGCCTTCGGCCAGTTCGGTGTGGGCTGTGCCGCTGTGTCTACTTCGCTGGAGGCGCAAGACGCGGGCAAGCCTCGTGCCACTAAGGCCCTAAGCTTGGGCTTTTTCAAAGATTGGGTTTGGACATCACGAGCCCTCAGGTATGCTGCCAGGTTCGGGCTATAGTATTTTTGTGTAAGGCTTGAGGCCCCCAACCTCTGAACCCTATACCGATACCCTTAACGTATACCCCACCCTAGACCCCAAATCCATAAACCCTAAACCCTAGACCCCAAGACCCTAAACTCCAAACCCCTAAACCCCAAAACCCGAAACTCTAGACCCAAACCCCAAGACCCTAGACCCTCAACCCTACACCCCTAAACCTTAAACCCTAAACCCTAAACCCTAAACTCTAAACCCCAAAACCCAAAACTCTAAACCCTAAACCCCAAAACCCAAAACCCTAAACCCTAAACCCTAAACCCCAAAACCCCTAAACCCCTAAACCCCTAAACCCCAAAACCCCCGAACCGGCAGCCCAGGGGCCACTGGGCAAAGAGCCGGCCATGAAGAGGGACTTGCCCCTCGCCGTCGGCGATGTCATCGAGCCGGGCTTGGAGTTCGGTCCAGGACCTCTTTGAAGCTTTTTGGGGAATGATATCGGGCTTTTGGGGTGTAGGTTTGGGGTTTAGGGTTGAGGGTTTTGGGTGTTGTGGTTTAGGGTTTAGGGTTTCTTGGGGGTTTAGAGCTTACAGATAGGGGTTTCGAGTTGAGGGTTTGGGGTTTTGGAGGTTTTGGGTGTAGGGCTTTTAGGGCTTAGGGCTTCCAGGGCTTTTTGGGTTTAAGGCTCATAGAGTTTTAAAGGATGTTAGGTTTAGGAGTTTAGGCTTAGGGCTTTTGGTTTTTGGCTTAAGGTTTAGGGCTTGTGGGGTTTAGACCCGTTTAGGCCGTTTAGGCTTTAAGGTGTGTGATTCGGGGTTTAAGGCTTCTCGGGTTCAAGGTCTAGGGGTTAGGGTTTTCGGGTTTATGGCTTACAACTGAAGGGGTTTAGGGCTTGTGGCGTTTCGGCTTTGAGGTTTAAGATTTGGGGTTAAGGATTTACGGTTTGGGGTTAAGGGTACAGGGCTTATAACTTATAGGGGTTGGGGTTTGAGGTTTAGGATTCGGGTTTTAGGGTCTAGGGGATTGGGGATTTAGGGCCTAGGGTTGAAGGTCAAGATATTTGGGGGGTTTGGGGTTTAGGGTTTAGGGATTAGGGTTTGCGAAGTCGGGGTTTGGGCTTACGGTTCAGGGTTTAGGGCTTAGGATTTTTGGACTTTGGGTTTACAGTGAAGGGTTGAGGGCTTAGGATTTGGGCTCGCTTCTTCAATAGCAAGCCCGAGGAAAGTTCAAGCTTTCTTATAACGTAGGGCATCAAAAAAAAAAAGTGATACCCTTGGGTTAAAACACCTGGCAAATCCAGGGGGTCCTTTCCGGGACCTTTACATGATCTTTCAGCGAGCAGGCTCGATCGCTGGCTCTGAAAATTCCCGGCCCCTACGCCCGATCATTCGATGGAACCCAGGACCCTGTGAAGAGGCAAGAACAAAGGCCTGCGCTTTGATCGAAGCCAGGGAGGCTTCTTCTGGGTTTAGGGGCTGATCTACATTCTGCATGCCCTGAACCCTAAACCGTAGCGCTGCCTTCTCGAATCCCTAGACCCTAAATTCCCTAAGCCATGAACTCTAAACCGTAACCCCCACCTCTCATCCAAGGCATACTCCGCGCCGAGGGAGGAGACCAACCTGTGCTGTCTTTCTGCGCATGGACACATAGGGTCGTCGCAAAGAGACCGATACCCGGACCAACCTAAACCCGAATCCCTTCACCGAGAAATAAACCTGGATCCTATTGAGGATCTCTCTCTCGCTCTCTCTCTCTCTCTCTCTATCTCTCTCTCTCTCTCTCTCTCTCTATCTAAGGCGTACGTCTGAGATAAGGGGTGGGGCATAATAAAGTATATCGAACATTTCTGAATCAAGTGGTGGGTGCTATCCAAATTAGGATCCCATTTCACGATCTATATAGTGAAAGTATGTGAAGGTGCTGTCCTGATCTTGTTTTGGTGCTGCAATAACAAGGACCTCGATTTGGAGAACTGCCCATACGACATAAAGACGCCTAATTTCCGCAAAAAACGTTCTGCCAAGACAAGACGAAAAAAACACATGCAGGAAAAAAACGAGCCCAAGCGCCCTAAAGCCCAAGAAACGCTAGAGGCCCAAAAACCCCGAAAAATCTGCGCCCGGAAAGCCCCAATAGAGTTTAGGGTTTGGGGCAGGCCCCACAGTTTAGTTTTTTTTTAAGGCCACTACACCAGCTTAGGGTCTAGGGTTTAGGGCAACCGAAGCAGCTGGGTCAGCTGTTTCGGCGATGCCGTCGGGGCGTGGATCTGGGACTCGATGGTGTCCAGAAGCACTTCGCACTCGTCGATGCAGCACCTCGGAGCTCTGGGCCTTTATTAGGGTTTAGGGTTTAGGGTTGAGGGTTTAGGGTTTAGGGTTTAGGGTTTAGGGTTTAGGGTTTAGGGTTTAGGGTTTAGGGTTTAGGGTTTAGGGTTTAGGGTTCGGTGTTTATTGTGGTGGTTATAGGACCAGGGTTTCTTAATCAGGTTCCTACATCAGATTCTTTGGGGGGATATGTATTCAGAATGGAGTTTTGGGGCTACTTCTACCCTGTCACGAAGGTAACTACGTCGGGGGTGGGGGTTCCCAGTGTTGGTTTAAAGCAGGGTAGAAGTAGAAATCGCCCACAGGAACCTCCTTGTCCACTTTTTTCTGACGTTGTTCACTTTTTTCTGACCCTGTCCACTTTTTTTTAGGACTTTGGAAACTCCAAAAAAAGTGATGACAAAGGGCCTCGGGGCCTTAAACCCTAAACCCTAGGCCCTAAAACCCTAAACCCCTAAACCCTAAACCCTAAACCCCTAAACCCCTAAACCCTAAGGGTAGGGCCTCGGGCTTGGGGTCTGCGAAGTAATGTGGACCCTTGATCATAAGCCCCTTATCACAAAAGGGAATGGAATAGGTCCCAAGGCGATCGCTCAGTTTCTAAGTTGTGTCATCTTCGCCACTCTTGAGTTCACCATCACCATCGTTGTCGGCGTCATCACCACCATGGTCACAGTACCAAAACTCAGAAGATGTACCTTCGAGCCGGTGACAGCTGCAGCGGAAGGACATGCGGCGGTTGTGGTGGTGGTGGTTGTTGTTGTTGTTGGTGGTGGTGGTGTTGCTTCTGCTCCTGCTCCTGCCCCTGCCACTTCCCCTGCCCCTGCTGCTGCTGCTGCTGCTGCTGCTGCTGCTGCTGCTGCTGCTGCTGCTGCTGCTGCTGCTGCCCCTGCTGCTGCGGATGTTGTGGTGGGTGGTGCTGCTGCTGACGTTGGTGCATGTTACACTGTTCATCCGCACGAGGTAAGAGACCCAGCACCCTAAACCCACCAGATTCTGCAGTCCCGGCACACGGCGTAGTACTCAGAGGAGCCGAGACAATTCGAGTCGAGCATGAGGTAGTTGGGAATGATCACTCGCGGCATGCCTGGAACGGTTCATGGTTTAGGGCGATTGACCCTTAAACCTAAACTCTAAACCACTCACCGTAGAGCCTAAAGGGCCTAAATCTTCAGACCTCTCAACCTTGAGCCAGCCTGGGACAGACTCGTCCAATGCCCCGGCATCCCGGAGATAGTGCTCGCTTTCGGTGAATGCACCTTGGCAGGGTTGTAGCTGCAGGTCTTCGTTCAGGGCTTAGTGCCTATTCCAACGTTAGTTCTGCCTGAAAAGACGTCGTGATAAGACAGTATCCTTTGAAATACCGCCCAGCTGATTATTGCTTTGTGCATTCCCACCCTTTGTCTTTCCGTCACATCCATCTGGGGGTTCCAAGCTGACATACTTGCACCGTGGCGAGAGAGAGAGAGAGAGAGAGAGAGAGAGAGAGAGATTGCAATTTTGTCGCATCGGCATATGGTACGGAACATGGGCTTCCTGCTTGGCGGAGGCTGATATCTCAACCTTAAACCCTAAACCCTAAACCCTTAACCGTGCTTTAGCGTACCTCGGATCTCGGTTCATGTGGCGCCAAAAACCGCCCGCACGGAGGTGAGCAATGGTAGACTGAAAGATGACAGTTCGTGACCCTTTAGGGTTTAGGGTTTAGGGTTTAGGGTTTAGGGTTTAGGCCTAAACCCTCAACTAAACCCTACATCCTCAACCAGGAACTGGAGAAGAAGTTGTGCAGGGTCGTGTTGTAGAAGTCCGCCAGAGTGACTCGTCCACTGGCATCGTGGTCCTCGCAGCCAATGCTCTTCAGGGAGCTGGACGAACCGTAAACAGCTTAGGGTTTAGGGTGTAGGCTTTAGGGTTTAGGGGTGCAGGATCCTTAAATCCTAACCTCTCTAAACCTTGAACCCTGACCCCAAAGCGACGTGTTTGTGCCGCAGGACACCCGAGTGCAGAAACACAAACCAGAGACCAGCAGTTAAGAATCAAGATCGGACGCTATACTTCAGGCTTCAGACTTTAGCGTCTCCGCAGCGATGCCAGAGCGCATGAGTACTCAAGTGGCTGTTTAAGTGCCAGTTCCAAAGCCTAAACCCCTTTGCCCTAAACCCTAAACCCCAAAGCCCTAAACCTTAAAGTACCACATAGGCAGGGCCTATCTCTCAGGAGCCACACTGACCCCACCTTGAAGAAGTGCATAGCCGCATAGCAGTACCACAACAAAGCCAAAAAGACATGAAGGACACCGACCACGAACTTGTGCATGAACCGTTCTTGTCCCCACGGCCTCCAGCTGTGTGAGTTGCTGTCGGATCGCACCGCACTCTCGGTTTTCCAGGTGGAAAATCCTCGCAGCTCCAGCTTCGGATATGGGGATGTTGCTCTCGGATATATGGTGCAGTGTTTTTGCTGGAGAGGGGTTTAGGAGCTGGGAAGACCCGCCGACCCTGCAGGCATAGAGCTCTTTGGGCTTCATAAACCTTTTAGGGCCTCTGGGGTGTACAGGGTTTAGGGTTTAGGGTTTGGGGTTTAGGGTTTAGGATTTAGGGTTTAAGGGTACTGTAGGTGTTCTCGTTGGAGAGGTGTTCTGGATCTGGGGGTGCTAGGTTCAGGAAGATACCCTATATGGGGCAGTAACGCGTTAAGAGGGCGGGTTTCTGATATACTATAGTACAGCAAGCAGAATCAGGAAAGGAATACGATGAGTATAGTACTTGAGGGCTCATGGGACTTAGAAACTAGGGTTATGAGTACCCTAACTGGAGTCATAAGTAGTTATAAGTGTAGTTACCTTATTTGTAGCAATAGTTATTAAGTCCCATGAACCTCTAAGTCGTGAATGTTTAAGGCCCCAGAGAATCCTTGGGAGGCAGCGAGCCGATAGGGCATTTGGGGGATGTCAGGGTTTAGGGTTTAGGGTTTAGGGTTTAGGGTTTAGGGTTTCGAGTTTAGGGCTTTGGGGTTTGGGGCCACGGGGGTTTGGGGGGCCAGGGTTGCATGATGTGGGGCTACAGGGACTTTAAAGGCCTTGGGGTTTTAGGGTTTAGGGGTTTAAGGGTTTAGGGTTTTAGGGATTAGGGCTTTAGGGGTTTAGGGCTGCAGGGTTTAGGTATGGGGGTTTAGGGGTTTAAGGGTTGAGGGTTTAGGGGTTTAGGGTTTTAGGGGTTTAGGTTTTTAGAGTTTAGGGTTTACGGTTTAGGTGTTTAGGGATTAGAACCCTGACAGAGTCCAGGGCTTGGGGGGTGCCAGCCTGGAGGCCTGAACCCTCGCTCTGAAAGCCTAGGCCTACGTCTCCAAAGCACCGCGACGGCCGAACCTGGAAAACCTTTGACCAAAGAGCAGCAGCTTACGACTTTCGGGCCTTGAGCCCTAAACCCTAAACCCTGAACCCTAAACCCTAAACCCTAGAACCCATCCCCTAAAATCCCTAAACGCGTCTGCCAAGTCGCTGATCTGCCACGCGCTCCAAGCTCGCCTGAGACTTCCGTAGGATCTACGGCATATGCCTGGTTAGGGTTTAGGGTTTCGGGTTTAGGGCTTTGGGGTCTAGGGCGGGGGATTGCGAGTTTGGGTGTTACCGTCGAGGTTTGTTCAAGGCGGTTCTACAGGTGCCCTTCAAGGGTTGGTAGGGTGTGTTCAAGGGCTTTAGCAGGGTCCTGTATAAGAGCTGTGTAGCTGTCCAAGGGTGCTAGAAGGAAAATGTAAGAAACATATGAAACCTTAGAAACTAAATAGGTATTTACAAAAGACTTCTACCAACCTGTATGCGCCCCGCTGCAAATCGGATCCGGTAGCCCGGCAGTGGTACAATAGTAAGAAAATAGCAACGGTAGCACACATCCAATGGCCGCAGCAAGGATAACAACCATAATGATAATCCAAACAGTACGTATCGTATAGTAACCGTTTTTATGTGTGCATTGTCATTATGATTACTATTCTTCTTATTATTATCATTAGTACATATATATATATGATAAGACTGATAACATTTATGAAGTAATGCTCCTGATAAACCCAAAACCCTAAACCGTTACAACCCAGTGGCCAAGATCTGCGCAAACTCGAAGCTCGACGCGCCCGGCGCCACGGCGTCCGCGGCCTGCGAAGCGCGGTGAAGCTCGGGGTGTCGGATTTTGGATCCAGCGTTTAGGCATTTTGGCTTTAGGGTTTGGTGCTTAGGCATTTTGGCTTTAGGGTTTGGGGCTTAGGCATCTTGGCTTTAGGGTTTGGGGCTTAGGCATTTTGGCTTTAGGGTTTGGGGCTTAGGGATCTTGTTTTTAGGGTTTGGGGTTCAGGGGCTTGGGAATTTAGGTTGTGGGAGTTTGGGGTTCAGGAGGTTCTGCGGTTTATGGGTTTAGGACTGTGAGTTTGGGTGGGTTTGGGGGATAACGGCTCCAAGCTCGAAAACCCAAACAGTCGAAGCTATGATCTGGAAGCAGACGGCTTAAGGAGCGGGAAGAGGGTTGCTTGGGATGCACATGCCCAGAAAGCCCAAGAATCCCTAATGAAGGAAGATACCTCAAATTATATAGGGCTCAGTGCTGTGATTTAAGGTATACGGTATATTCCCTAGTTAAGGGGCTCTGGGCTCTCTGGGTGTTTACTCCGAAAGCCTACTGCATCCCATGATCCCTGGCCCAAGCGGTTTAGGGTTTAGGGTTTAGGGTTTAGGGTTTAGGGTTTAGGGTTTAGGGTTTAGGGTTTAGGGCAAGCACTATGCCGTCCACAGTCCCCATGACTCAAGCAGCCGGGGATATCCCGGGCCCAAGCATGCTGAGGTCCCTTCTGGGAGGAGGATCATGATGAAGTTGACCGACGGATATGAAGATGCTGATGATAGCAATATGTGATTATTCTGACTGGGATTCTGGAATATGCCCTAAACCCTAAACCCTAGATAGATATGGATTATGAAGATGCTTCTGACTAAAGCGGCCGTGGCAGAGAGGGAGATAGCGTCGCCACGATTGCAGCGGAATGATGAAGCATGGTACCCACTGTTGAGGTTTAGGGTTTATAGGTTTATTTTGTAAATATATATATATATATATATGTATATTATATATATATATATATATATGTATAGGGTTTATAGGGCTATCTACAAAAATGTGTGTCGGACCTTTTCGGCTGCCTTCTGGGGTCAGATAGGATTTGGGGGCTTAGGGTTGAGGCCCTGTCGGACTCCAGAGGGCCTGCTGCAGCAATTCAGCGGCCTCCGTCCAGCGTGGGTAGTAGCCTGCAGCGCGGGTTTAAAAATTAGGGCTTTTAGGGTTTAGGGCTGTTAGGGTTTAGTGTTTAGGGCTTTTAGGATTTTTAGGGTTTTGGGGGCTTAGAGTTTAGGGTTTTTAGGGTTTAGAGTTTCGGGCTGCTGTCTGTCTTCTCACGAACTTACTGGCTGAGCGTGTCTCTATCAGCTCTAAGCTCCACCCCCCAAACCCTGAATCTTAAGCCCTACACCACGCACTTAAACACGTAAACCCTCAACCCTAAACCCTAAATGCCGAAACGTCGACTCTGGACTTGAGGTCTCAATCCCTAGTATAGGGGCCGTAATAATTAGAATAGGGTTTCGGGGCTCATCATATTATACTTATATAAGGAAAAGCAAAATAGCATCGGTAATTCTTTCGGCCCCTACATAAAACCCTAAACCCTAAACCCTGAATCCCTAAATCCCTAAATCCCTTTTCGGGCCTCCATCCAAGTGCTGTCGGCTCGTCAACATCTTCTCAATGGCAACGCTCTCCGACTCTCCCTCGTCCTGTGCCAAGGGTCCAAAGAAAGTTTGCCGGGTTCGTTTATAAGGGTTCTAAAGGTTTTAGGGTTTAGGGGTTTAGGGGTTTAGGGGTTTAGGGGTTTAGGGTTTAGGGTTTAGGTTTTGGAGGGCCCCAAGAAAGTCTGCCGGGTTCTTTTATAGGTTCTAAAGGGTTTCTTAGGGTTCAGGGTTGCAAGAGGTGTGCAGAGGGTTTTAGGGGGCTCTGTGCTCATCCTCCTTGCCGAGGATGTACGTCGCGAGGTACGTGTGCATGATGTCGAAAGCATCATTTCGAGACACGGGAGCGCGTTCCTGGCATCACGTTGCTTCACTGGACCCAGAGAGAACCCAATACCCCTTAATTAAGGAATATATCTTAAATCATAGTATTAAGGCCCCTATAATTCAAGGTATATTCCTTAATTAATTAAAAGTGTATTGGGTTCACTGGAGCACACAAAGCACGACCCCCAAACCTCTCGAAGACTTCTTTGCAGAAGGATCGAAAGCCTGACCCTGAACCTTAATGTAGGGGCCTAAATGATTACCTATATCATTGCGGGGGGTTCCTTATCATATTTATAGTAAAATGGGCCCCAAAACCCTATTCTAACTATTAAGGCCCCTACCCTCGACACTCAGAAGGTGGGCGTTCTTTGCTGTGGCTGGGCAGGTGAGGGCTTCCACGCAATATAGGGGCCTGAATAATTCGAATAGGGTTTTGGGGCCCATTATACTCTAGTTATGACAAGGAGCCTCCAAAATAGTATAGGTAGTTATTTAGGCCCCTACATAACTCACAACTGCAATGTCTCAACCACCCGAGAGTTTTCGGGCGCGGGATTCTGAGCTCAAACCCTAAACCCTAAGCCCAAGCCCGAATATAGCCTTTTTGGCCAGGGTGGGGTTTCGGGACACATAGTACTATCATCATAAACGGGAACCTTCTGGAGCAGCTAGGGGCCTTAATGATTAGAATAGGGTTTTGGGCTCATTTATAGTACAATCATAGTGAGAACCCTAAGCAACAGTAGGTAATAATTCTTGGCTGAGTTCTGAACCTCCTAAACGTTAAACTTTTAGCCTACTTATTATAGTTCATCTAGAAACACAAAAAGTTAAAGTCTTAAGAGCAAGCCAGAATAATGCCAAGTATTCAAAACCCCTAAATCCCTAAACCCTGTAAAAGGCATATAAGCCCGAAACCCACAACCCTAAACCCTAAACCCCTAAACCCTAAACCCCTAAACCCCAAAGCCCCTAGGCCACTAAGCCCCTAAACCCCTAAACCCCTAAACCCCCTAAGCCCTAAACCCTTCGTAGCCTCTGGGCCCGAGACTTCCCAGCAGTGAGGCTGGACTACCGTGCGGTAGACAGACTTCGGGCCATGGATTCTTTTCTGAAATACACTACTGAGACTGCTAGGAAAGAAGCTCTCCTGGCTAAAGGATGGATCATCTCCAGGGAGCTCGGTGACGTCGCCCTCCTGTTCCGCTTCAATACTGCTGTAAGAATCAAAGCCTTCAAGACTCCCCACCATGGGACGGCTGAGGTGGTCGATCTGGGCTTGGACAACTGCCTGGAGACAGAAGGTCTCATGCGACAGCCTCGTGCAACAGGTGAGACAGTGTGGTTTGACTCGTCGATTTGCGGCCTCAAGATTGTGCCGGGTGAAGTATACATGGTCATCGGTGGCAGGTTCATCAGGGATAGTGAGGGCGAACGTGTCCTTCGGCTCCCGGCCACTGTGGAAGGTTCTGCACTTGTGCTAATGCCTGCCCGGACCGACAGCATTGCAAGTATCGTTGAGCTTTTTGCTGGGGGGGTCAATGGTTGGACACATGCAGCAAGGGCTTTGCCAGCAGAGGTGGTGGCCAGAGTTGAGCACGAAGGCATGGCAACCGCTACGTCTTTGCTCAACGATCATACTGCAGTTCTTTTTACGGACAAGGACCCGCAGGCATCCTTCGACTTCTTTTGGGGGGATGTGATGGATCTGAGATGGACGGTAGCTATGCATGGAAAGAACGTTGAGTTCTTCTGTGCAAACCCCCCGGGAAAGGCCTATCTGGCTGGTGATATGTCCTTGGGTTTCGCGGATGTTCCGGCCACGAGTGGTCTGTGGGGCCTTGTCCTCATATGCCGCCTCACACAGAGGAGAGCAGTTGTCCTGGAGATGCCAGTGGCCTATGGCACCCACAATGACAAGAACACGGTGATAGATCTGATGAGATGGGCTGGCTTTACTGTGGTCTGGGAGGGATACCTGGACCCATGCCAGATGGTCCCCCTGCATCGGAGGAGGCACTACACTGTTTTCTGGAGCTCGGCTGATGCTGGTTCGGTGGGCAAGCCTTTCAGGATGATTAGAATGGGAGATCGGGGCGACCTGGCCTGCAATGACATCATCTGGAGCAACATGCCAGGAACGACCTTGGATGCGATCAGGGTTAAAGGTGCCAACCTGACAAAGCTGAACTGCAGAGAACTACTACCCAAGTACATGCAACACAGGCAAGGTTCGGCATTGCAGATCCGCCTCCTGGACCAGTCCAAACCGATGCCACCCTTCGGTGCTTCCTACGGTGAACTCCTACGCCTTCCTTGGCCCATGCTCCGAACAAGAGGCCTCCACATGGCAATACTGGAACCCCAACCCGACGTGGTGCGACTGATTTCCAAGTGGGAAGCCTTGGGTGCCACGGGGCTGCCGATCGACACCATTCTCCCCGAGCCTGAGGGTGATGCTTTCGCAATTCTGGGTGAAGGGACGGTACCTGCAGCAGCCATGGTGATACTCGCATCGGTGATTGGCCATCGCCATGAGGACCCCATGCAAGAAGATGAGCTTATCAACTATGTGGATGAAGGCAATCATGAAGTTCAACAACACTGGAGAACCTTTCAGGGACTCCTTCCCCTCGCCTCGTCCGGATGGGCAATGTTGTGGGCTGAGCAGGACAACATTGGCCGTGGACCGATGGGTTTCTTCTCCAGGAGGATTAATGGACTTCAAGCCAACTTGGATGCCCTGACCTTTGGTTGGATGCGAGGCAACAGACGCCCCTTCTACCCTGAGTCGGTGCGTGTTGTGTATGAAGACGCAGCCAAGCTGGAGGAACCGCACACTACCCATAGGGTTTTCCAGACCTACAGCGGCTACCATGACCTCATCCTCAATGATGATGACACCATCACTCAGTTCCATGAGAATGTGGCTGATTTCCTTCAGACCCCGACGGTCAACCTGGCCCTGGCCC